TACTTATTAACGGATAGGCATTTAAAAAGATCGTAATTGTATAAAAAAAATGTTGTGCTCACTTTAGGAATTCGTAACTAATTCTGTATACATTTTTGACCTCATAATTCATGAACAAAGGAAACCCCTTTAAAGCGCCATCTACCGACTGACATCGGCAATTAGTATTGTAAAAGTATTGAAGTGCTATTGTGACTGTAGGCTCGGTTTGTTTTTGTTTATTTGTTATTGACGTTTGGTTTTTCTTCATTTTGCTCATGAATAAATCACAATAAGCAATTTTCAGAGTTGTATTCGCGAATTCAATTTCACTGAAAATTCATAAGCAATTTCACGTGATATTTTTTTATATGGTCAAATTGAGAATTGTATCGCGATTTCAGCTGAAATTGAGGATAATGACGAAATTTGTGCGGTTTTGCGCANAATAAATCACAATAAGCAATTTTCAGAGTTGTATTCGCGAATTCAATTTCACTGAAAATTCATAAGCAATTTCACGTGATATTTTTTTATATGGTCAAATTGAGAATTGTATCGCGATTTCAGCTGAAATTGAGGATAATGACGAAATTTGTGCGGTTTTGCGCACTCGCTATCTCCTTGTATTAACTCGTCCTTCGTTGGTATACTCTGATGAACATATGTGAGGATGATAGCAAGGCTAACTTATATAAGGTAGTGTTACAGGAGCAGTTGAAATTTTCGCTCGATGTTTCTTAAAGAAATCCATAAACGTAGCGACCGTTGGTTCAACTTGGTGTTGTTTTGCTCTAGATTGCACTGTTTGTGGGCCTGTTGAATGAATTTATGTCTTGGTTGTATGAAAGATCAAAAAATTAGGATCTTCTGGCAAGTTGTACAACTTATCGCTACATTAATGACCATGTTGTACAAACTCATTTAATTTACGTTTATTTTGTACACTAAATAACCGAAAATGGATAACTCAGCCGAAATAGGTACGTGCTTTCGTTGAATTTTATAAATGTAAGCTGAAACTATGAAATTGTAAAAATGAGATTTTACAATGAGACTGCTCGCAAAATTAAAATGTTTGTGGGCAAAACGTACAACTTGATTGCGGATTGATTTGAACCAACGTTTTCGGCTTGCATTATGTTAAAAGGATGTGTTTGTTGTAATTCATTCTGTCATTTACTACCATTATGCGTAGGCCAATTCATGAAATCATTTAACGCGTTTGAGTAGAAACTGAATGAATGAACACCATTTCATGATTTCAATTAACGCGAAATAGAGTTTATGCTCTTAGTTTTTACTCAGATCGATGAAATGGTTTCGTGAATTGGACTACCCATACATGTGATACTTATGCTTTTAATTTATAAGGTAATTTTATGTTTTTATACTCTTGCTCCCACATGAATATATGCATTCGTGATAAGAATATATGAATTCGCCTTGGAAGATAGAAAGCGAGTTAGAATAAATGCCTAGCAAAGGAATTTGTCTTCTTTCAACTTAAGTAAATGCATTTTGCAAACAAAAGTGCGTACGTGCCTTGGTAATGGCGAATTCGTAAGGATCTATTGATTGCATTATAAACATTTTCATTTATTTGTTAAACATACAATTACTTCCATTACAACCCGGTCCTATGGATGCGAGAAGCGCGAATTCATATAAGGTGGTGTTACCGGAAAATGAATAAATAAATTATACGTATATCAGAAAATTATTAAGTTGAAATGAAATTATTGTTTGATTTCTAACCAAACCTATGTATGTAACTCAATCGCCTAATGGTTTGCCGAACCGTAAACATATGTTTACACATCCAATTTCGTGAGTAGGTACCTGGTACTCACACCTGTTTTAAGAAGTTTCGCTTCTATCATGTGTACGGTGTTACACATGCATTTTTTTCATTTGAAGCGCATTTTAGGCACCTGCGGGGTAAGAGGAATTGCAGTACAGTTGATTATTACTTCCGATTATGCAAACTCCGCACATGCATACAGCTTTGTACCTATATATCGTATCGGGATTGTTTTTCCTGTAACTTCCTGCAAGTTCGTGTAAAAACCTGTAAGTTCATTGAGTACTGGATCAGAGTTAATACAAGATTTCACAAAGAGAAGACGAGAGTAAGAGGGCATGCCGAACAAATGAATTTAGCTTCCCATTTTGCAAATAAAAGATGGTATGTGTATGTGTATTCATGACTTTAACGTAAACCTAGCGACAGATGAAGCAGAACCACTGATTATATTCCGAAAAGAAAAACTAAATTAAGGAATATATACAAATAGAAACGCTGAAACTACAAGCTCAAAAACAGTAATTGATGCGGTGTTTTCAAGATATTTTAACGCCCTTGAGTCACAAGTGTAGCTATACAAGTATTTTATCAGTCATACCGATAATTTCATGCATTAAAAGAATTAAAAATGAAAATGAATAAAAAAAATTAAATCAGTAAAGTGAATAAAATTAATTAAAATTAATGTTTAATTCTAACTGTGTAACTGAATCGCCTATTAATAGGTTTACATATAAAAAGATTATCCTCGTTTTCGAGCTAAACTCCTTAATCTGTAATTAGAAAAAGAGATTAGCCATAAAAAATTTAGATAATTATAAAACTATCTCAGATTAAACCGATAACCTTTTGGTGTCCAACCCAGTTTTATCGATTACACTTGCGAAGAAGAGGAGGAATGTCAAATGTAAAAGTAAACAAAAATTTATGCTAGCAAGGAAAAGAGGTTTGTGAAGGTATTTTTAATAAAATATTAAGTTAAAATATATTTAAGTAGCATAATATGTGTAGCTGAAAAAATTGACCACGGTGGCACAGAGAAGAAGCTTAACTTTTCCTCGAGTTGTGAGAATAACAAGCACAACCAATTTGACCGCTAACGAGCTTTGATTGAGATTATATTTATATGTAAAAGTACTTTTATGCTTTGCCGTACGCATATGTTTACACATAAAACTTTATTAGTACTTAGTACTCACGCCTTGTTTTCTTCTTTTTTTCTTCGGAGATGTCATCTGTCAAGGTTTGCATTTTATCGTGATTCTGACTAATCATGTTCTTTTTCAAATCGTTATATCTCGGGATCTGTTGATCGCAGAGACTTACTCTTAACGTCATTTTAAAGCCAAGAAACGAGCTTTAGATTTCTGTGCATAAGATGGTCAAAATCGTCTTAAAGCTAACTTAGCTATTAACAGTTGAACTTTTTAAAGTTGATTTGCATAGTAAAGACCAGTAAATTAGGGTTTAAAATTATACCATCGTAATCCTTGTTTAGTTCTCTATAAAAAACATATTTTTCTTTGTGACGAGATGGTTTATTTTGTGAGAATCAACAATTTTTTGTTATTTGTTTTCGAAAACTTATTTTGAGATATATTTAGTAAGGTGTTAAACATCGAGTTTTTGCAAGAATTTAAATTTTATTGCAGATTCTGATAGAACACCTATCCAGGTATAATATTTGTACGGCAAGATTTTTCTTTAAGGCGACAAACCCCTAGAAATGGGCGTGGCAATTGTAGGACTAAAGATTGCAAAACACAGATTTTATTGCGGATTTCAGCAGAATATCACTTCATTAACAACATTTGTTCCACAACTTTTTTAATCCATAGAGGTATTCTGGAAAAATCCACAATAAAGTCTAAATTTTTGAACTTTGGTTTTAATATAGCCACACCCATTCCTAGAATATTCTTTGATTGAAAAAGTTGTGAAACACATGTTTTTAACGAAGCGATGTTCTGCCGAAATCCGCAATAAAATCTGCGTTTTGCATACTTTAGTCCTACAATTGCCACGCCCATTTCTAGGGGTTTGTCGCCTTAAAGAAAAATCTTGCCGTACAAATATTATACCTGGATAGGTGTTCTATCAGAATCTGCAATAAAATTTAAATTCTTGCAAAACCTCGATGTTTAACACCTTACTAAATATATTTCAACATAAGTTTTCGAAATCAAATCACAAAAAGTTGTTGATTCTCGCAAAATAAACCATCTCGTCACAAAGAAAAATATTTAAAAATAGTGCTTGAAAAACGCCCATTTTTTAAACACGTTTTTGTAGAGAATTAAACAAGGATTACGATGGTATAATTTTAAATCCCTAATTAACCGGTGTGCACTATGTACAACTACAAAAAGTTCAACTGTTAATAGCTAAGTTAGCTTTAGGACAATCTTGGCAATCTTATATACCGAAATCTTAAGGTAGTTGCTTGGCTTTAAAAAGACGTTAAGGTTAAGTCTCTGTGATCAGCAGATCCCGAGATATGACGATTTGAAGTAGTACATGATTAGTCAGAATCACGAAAAATGCAAACTTTGACAGATCACATTTCCAAAGAAAAAAGCGGAAAAAAATTCCTTGAACAGGTGTAAGCTTATTTCAAGTATAGAACCCATAAAAAAATTGTAAGCCAATCGAAACTGTGACATAAAATTTGGTGTCCGATATAAAAAAGAAGGTCTCATATACTTGTGACTCAAGGGCGTTAAAATATCTTGAAAACACCGCATCAATTATTGTTTTTGAGCTTGTAGTTTGAGCATTTCTATTTGTATATATTCCTAAATTTAGCTTTTCTTATAGGAATATAAATTGTGGTTCTGCTTCACCACGCTTTTCTCACGCTTTCTTTTTTTTCTATGGGAGAGAAATGTCGACTTATACGGAAAAAGGTCCTCTTGTGGGTACCCCGGTACCCGGGTATTAACACAAGGGTTAAATGCACGCTTAGGTAGATACATACATATGTATGTATGATCTCGAGGTATCGACACTTCGATTACGTGTGCAAGGTATCGATGTACCGATGTTCTGCATAGTCCGTAATCGATTATAAAACATAGATATTTTACGTTTTATCATCGATAATTTGGAATATCAGATAAACCTTCTTTATTGCTGCGGTTGCTGTGGTGTAGCGGTTAATACCATGTTCTGACCGACATCGAAAACATGTTTTCGTTGGTAAAACTGTTTTTCAACCGAAAACTTGTGTTTTCGTCCATGTAAAATCTGTCAAATGAAAACACGTCGGAAACCAGTTTTCGTTGAAAACTACTTGCAAACTCACGTTCCACTCGTTCCAATCAATGCCTGCACTAGTTTATTCGATATTAGTGGTAGACATATTTTGTCATCCCTAAATTGTCACTTGTTATTTATTTATGTGGATTTAGTGAAAATATGGAGAAAACTAAGTACAAGAAAAGGAATGTTTGGAATGACAGGGGAGAAGCCTTGCTAATAGATATTTGGCAAACAAAAGTCGGCGCACTTCGCGGGCACAGAAAAAATAGCCATATTATTGAGGAAATGGCATTGGAGAGGCACGGTGTGCACAGCTGCTGAAATAAAGAGAAAAAGGCACAACCTGTCCCAAAAGTTTAGGTGAGTGAACTAAGGCTATAGTAAAGGTTAATAGTTTAATTAACATTATCATTTACAGAAAGGAAAAGCAAGCAGTCGGTCCAACTGGCGGTTCACCCTCACAGTGGCACTTATTCAGTAAAATGAGTGCCCTGCTTTCGCCATATCGGAGTTACGGAAGGCTTATTGGAAGAAAGCTTTAGCAGTAAGAGACCTTGTTTTAATATTTGTGTATTTTTTTTAATCATATGTGCTTATTTTAAGAAGGCAATAGTTCAATATGCAGATCCACTAACTCCGAATCGGTACGAATTTCGGAGGAACCGGCTGCATCTCCTTCTTCATGTGTTGTTGATGGATCTCCATTGCCATCACCGTCTTCAACACCTTCGCCGTCAGCAATTAGCATATCGACACCTTCGCCTTCGGCAATTACCATGTCGTCTCCCGAGCCGTCAACATCGACCATGTCACCCAATCCGTCAGAAATCAGCGAGCCTACAAATAAAAGAAGAAATCATTTTCAAAGTATTTTATTAAAAAAGTTTGACAAAATAGAAAAAGAGCTGGAGAAGTCTAACAAAGATTATGAAGAATCAAGCCAACAGTTAAAAATAATGACAGAGAAACTGGTTGAAAACGATAACAAAAAAAACCCAACTAATGGAAGAGTATGTTATAGAAACGAAAGAAGTTAACAAAGCTATACTTCAATTTGTAAAGAATTAAAAAAATTGCATACAGTGGCGAACAAAAGTATTGGCACAGAGATTTTGTTCGCAATATATGCAAAGTTTTTTATTGTAATTTCTTTTCGATGATGTTTTATAAAAACATATATCATACACCGAAAAACATAGAAATAAAATCTCTAACTTTCGTAATTTTTTTAGCAAGTTCAAATTTGCCCTTGACTAAAATTGAATGGGCTATAAAACTGCATGCCAAGAATTTTTCCCAAAAATCTGAACAGAAAGTTGCAAATTTGTATGCAAATTTATTTAATTTTTCAGAGTTTTTCACGAAGTTTAGAGATTTTATTTTTATGTTTTTTGGTGCAATATGAAATATGTTTTTATAAAACATTATCGAAAAGAAATTACAATAAGAAACTTTGCATATATTGCAAACAATTCTCAGTGCAAATGCTTTTGTTCGCCACTGTATGCGCGTGAAATGTGTGCACATATGAATAACTAAAAAAAAAATATAAAAAAATAATAATGTAAATATGAAATATGTGAAACTATGAATTAGAATATATTAGAATTAGAAATTAGAATAAAAAACTTTGCATATATTGAAACAATTCTCTGTGCAAATACTTTTGTTTGCCACTGTATGCGCGTGAAATGTGTGCACATATGAATAACTAAAAAAAAAATATAAAAAAATAATAATGTAAATATGAAATATGTGAAACTATGAATTAGAATATATTAGAATTAGAAATTAGAATAAAAAACTTTGCATATATTGAAACAATTCTCTGTGCAAATACTTTTGTTTGCCACTGTATGCGCGTGAAATGTGTGCACATATGAATAACTAAAAAAAAAATATAAAAAAATAATAATGTAAATATGAAATATGTGAAACTATGAATTAGAATATATTAGAATTAGAAATTAGAATAAAAAACTTTGCATATATTGAAACAATTCTCTGTGCAAATACTTTTGTTTGCCACTGTATGCGCGTGAAATGTGTGCAAATATGAATAACTAAAAAAAAAATAATAAAAAAATAATAATGTTAATATGAAATATGTGAAACTATGAAAATAAATGAATGAAAAATGAATATAAAGTATGGGTATATTTCAAATACGTGGACAGAAAATCAACGGCTACGTTCAACGAAATTTTAAGGGATTGTAGGGAAGTACACAGAGAAGGTTGTTATACTATATACATTTTATTCCAATCCGTCAAATCACTTAGAAGGTATGGGAATCATATCTATATAGGTATTATATTCTATAAAGTTACAAAGGCAAAGGCGCAGTCAAAGGCAACGACAAAGACAAATATAAAAATAAGGACAAAGATTAATATTGATATTAAGGGAAAAGATGATGAAGTAGAAGATAGAGATGAAGAGAACATAGCTCTTCGTTATCCGTTTATATTTGTAATTGGTAATTGGTGTAATTAATATACTTACTTAAATATGTGCACAGCGCAGATCGTATCATTTCTGCATTACTTGGGTCATCAGATATATATGTCACATCACTCGGGTATTGGCGCCTAGTCTCCAACTCCTCCAAAGCCTGTAACCATTTACTGTTTAGGAAATCATTGCAATCATTTAGAAAGTTGTGAAGGATGCAACATGCTTTAATTATGGAATTGGCATTCCGTATAGAGTTGTTAATTCCTTTTCCAACGCGACGAGGTGTCCAAAAGCGTTTTCGACAACACTACGAGCTTTTGAAAGAGCATAGTTAAATACTTTTTCATTTGAGTTTTGATTTACGCTAAATGGGTAGGGTTTCATAAGTTTTTTGCTAACTCGAAAAGCCGAATCTTCAATAATAAATACTGGCACATTTACACCAGAAATTTCCCCAGTCATTTCGCTTAGTAAGGGACAATTCTCTATCTACTGCTTAAAAGATGATGACTCAAAAATTTGTGAGTCGTTGCATCGCCCGGGACCCCTGACGTTTATGTAAATGAAGCGGTATCTGAAAAGGTTAGGCATTATCGTTTATTTACTTATACCTGTATCTGAAATTCAGGATTTTACCTAGCATCAACTAATAATAATAATAATATCCCAACGGTTTTTACAGTCCGCATGACGTACGGAACCAATATTTTAAATTTTTGTGCCGAGTCACGATAGGCAGGGGTTTGTTAAGTGTCGAGATCTAAAACTGTTCGGCTACAGAACTAAATTCATCAGCTGATTTTATGTATTTATGTCAATAATTCACTTATTGAGAGAGGAGAGTATCGCTTTCTTAATGCTGAAGAGCGGATCTGATATATCAAACGTGCTGGAATTAGAGTTAAAATCCTGGCATAAGCAACGGAGTGGGTCGTGCAATTCAAAATTGGTTTTACAAGCTTTCAGAAATATGGGACAAAAGTGTCTTGATACGCGTGACGGAACATTAAAGCTTACATCAGCCAGAAGAGACGGACTTGAAATTGAGCCTGTCAGTAATTTAACCATAAAAATTATACCAAGCATTTCCCTGCGACTGGCAAGTGTAGGAAGGTTAATAAGTTTTAAGCGACTCGTATAAGGTGGAAGACTATATTGAGAATCCCATCGGAAATTTCTTAAAGCAAAAAGTAGGAATTGTTTTTGAATTGATTCTAT